TAGTAGAGACGGGGTTTCACCATGTTAGCCAGGCTGGTCGATGGAGTTCAACATTTTTCATAATAAAAATCCTTAGAAAAGCGAAGAGTATTCCAGACAGTGTGTGGAAGGAGGTACATGGGCGGAAACGTCTGCAGAGGAGAACGGAGCGCTCCTGCCTTGTCTTAGGTACCAAGTCTCACTGTCACGCCAAGACAAGGTGCATATTTTATAACACATAATTTTACATTTATTAGAAAAGGGGCCGTGTAAAGCATGGCTACCTTCTCATGTTGCCTGTTAACTTGGAGCCTGTGACAAAATGGTAATAAATAAACAAAAAGTGGGCATTTCTAGAGGTTATGAATATGGACTACAAAACAGAAGAATATTGTTGAAACTTTAAGCAAATGATGCTTGCACTTTTTCATTTTGGGTGAGCCAATTTGATTTTTTTTGTTTTTTCTTCTAGTCTCTTAATGGCTTTGCTCTGGTCGTGAGTGCAGAAGGGACGATATTTTATGCGTCAGCAACGATCGTGGACTATCTGGGCTTCCATCAGGTAAATGAAACCAGAATAACCCTCCAGTCTGTTCAGTGCTAGGCTCTCTTCCCTTTGTAAATGTTGGTTGTCGTCAAGGTTTGACAAATGTCTAAAATCGGGTTTGTCCTATCACTGAACTCTTATCAGATAAAGATCTCCACACTCCAGCTTTGTCCAGGGCAGTGCTTCTTCCAGCCTGGGTTCGGGGTCTCGGTGTGAGGCCGCTCAGTGTCGGGGTGTTCTGGTCTAAGGGAGCCGCGGCGTCCGGACAGCGGCCTGGTCTCCTCTGGCTCGGGCACTCCGCTAGGTCCCCTGCCCCAGCAGCGCCATCCCATTCATCCACTCCCAGTCAACGTCTTAACGTCTTCCCGGTGCACTCAGGACACAGCTTGTTCTGGAAATGCCCTTCCTGACGTGGGAGTGGTTCACTTGGAGTGCTGCCCGGTCAGCCCCAGGTGGATGACTCCAGACTTCTAGGCCGAGAATGGGGTTGAGGCCTCGTCAGATACCAAGCCCTGGAAGGGCAACTCACCCAGGAAAAGGTGCGATAAAAAATCCCACCCGGTCAGGCACAGGGATTCACACCTGTAATCCCAGCACTTTGGGAGGCCGAGGCGGGTGGATCGTCAGGCACAGGGACTCACGCCTGTAATCCCAGCACTTTGGGAGGCCGAGGCAGGTGGATCACCAGGTCAGGAGATCGAGACCAGCCTGGCCAAAATGGTGAAACTCTGTCTCTACTAAAAATACAAAAATTAGCTAGGTGTGGTGGCAGGCACCTGTAGTCCCAGCTACTAGGGAGGCTGAGGCAGGCGAATAGTGTGAACCCGGGAAGCAGAGGTTTGCAGTGAGGTGAGATCGAGCCACTGCACTCCAGCCTGAATGACAGAGTGAGACTCCGTCACAAACAAAGAAACAAACAAACAAATCTGACTCGAGGCCAGGAGGGGAGCAAGGGAGCTGTTTTTCTGTCTGGAAAGGAGCTGGGGTCCCTCACGGAAAATCAGATGCCGGTTGTAGAATTAAGATTTCTCCCACTGCACGGCAAGGACTCCCAGGATCTGGATCTCAGGCATACTGCAGACTGATGAGATGACTGGAGAACCCAAAGAAGCAAAAATGGGGCCCTTTATCTGCACTTTCACAAGCCAATCCCACAAAAATACCCACCCTGCAGATGAGCTCACGGTGCGAGTAATAAACCCAAGGAAGCCATAGATGGTGAGCAGGAGCCAGCAGACAGGTAAACAAACCCTGATTCCTGGAAGAACTTAAGGAACGAAGCCGTCCAAAGGAAACTGGCAAACAGACAGATTTAAAACAATAAAAGATAAAAGCAGCAGTATAAAGAAAGCACAGCATACGATGAAAAAAATAACAGATATGTTTGAGAAAGATCAAAACAAAACTTTGAAAAAGAGAGAGTTGTGTATTAGGGTTCAGTCTGGAGACAGAAACTGTGCAGAAATTTGAACAGTTTTATAGAAAGACTTACGATGGGTTTAGTGTAAGGAAGTGTTAACCAGTAGCACCAGCTCAGCAACAAAGGACTAAAAGGACTCTGAGGACACAGATACAGCAACAGAAGGGCAGCAGTGTGCACAGGGCCCAGGCAGGGGCCGTCTTGGAAACCCCAGCCCCACTGAGGCTGAGAGCCAGACCCTCGGTGGCACAGGGTGGGGCCATGACCTGGGCAGTGGAGAAGTTCCCAAGATGTTGAGGCCAGGGCTGGCTGGTAGGAAGCTTCCCTTTGGGACCCAGGTGAGATGCGCATCTCAAGGCCGCTGGGCGCTGGGGGAAGCTGTGACACTGCGGGGTGCACACCGGTGGAGCGGGAGGCCCCAGGGGAAGCCCTGCCCCCTGTAGTGCCCAGCACCTCTGCCTGTGAGGAAATGGTCCCAGAGCCAGCATTCACGCCGAGCGAGAGGCAGCACATGGGGTGATTAAAGTGAAAAATCTCCCTGGTCAGGTGGGAAGCCTAGGGCTGAATCCCCCCGGTCAGGTGGGAAGCCTCGGGGCTGAATCTCCTGGTCAGGTGGGAAGCCTAGGGGCTGAATCCCCCCAGTCAGGTGGGAAGCCTACAGCTGAATCCCCCCAGTCAGGTGGGAAGCCTACGGCTGAATCCCCCCAGTCAGGTGGGAAGCCTACGGCTGAATCCCCCCGGTCAGGTGGGAAGCCTCGGGGCTGAATCCTCCCGGTCAGGTGGGAAGTCTAGGGGCTGAATCCCCCCCAGTCAGGTGGGAAGCCTAGGGCTGAATCCCGGTCAGGTGGGAAGCCTCGGGGCTGAATCCCCCCGGTCAGGTGGGAAGCCTCTAGGGGCTGAATCCCCCGGTCAGGTGGGAAGCCTCTAGGGGCTGTGCAGGGCAGCAGTCAGTGGAAGCCACGAACCACCCCGCTCACCCACACTAGTCCCTGACAAGTCATTAGAATTCATGTCTGCCCAGGCCCTGAGGCTGCACAGAGTTCTATCCAGTTTCCATGAGAGCCAGAATTTTGAATTTCCCCACAGCTGAAGTCGCTGCTGCCTGCTGGTGACTCTGCAAAGCAGCTCCTCTAGTCTGCCCCTAAGTCCAACCTCCTGCCCCTGAGCCCAGGCCGGTCTCCCTGTGAACTGCAGGGACCGCGTGACCGCCGGGCTCATTGCAGTGAGCTTGTTTTCTGCACCGTGGCTCTCTCTGCACACTAGATGCCTCCTCCGGATGGCCTCTCCCCCAGCATCCACGTGAAGGTGCAGCTTGTCAGCACACCTGGGCCGGCCCTGGTGGAGGACGCAGGGGGACATGGCTGTGTGCAGGGCGAGGAAGCACCATGCAGTGGGCATGGCTGCCAAGGGGTGTCCAGGCCACTGTCCTGTTGGGAACGCAGTGCAGGGTGGAGACACAGCTCTGCTGTCCCAGTAGCGACCTCGATGGCTCTGAGCCTCATTTCCTGTGCCCACACCATGGCCAGCAGCGGTGTCTGCCTGCCAGGCTGTGACCAGACCACAGGACCACTGAGCAGGGGAGTGCTGGAAAAAGCCCTGGTGCCGGGCGCTGCGTCTCCCACCACAGAGGGACATCACTCTAGGCGGCTGCTGTTGACACCGCGTGACCACAGGCTTTGCTGAGTGTGCCCTGGTGTCTGTAGTTGGGGCACTTTTCATCTCCTGACGTGCCCTATGAGAGGGGACCTGGAGTGATGACTGGTGGGTCCCTCATTCCCACAGATGGCACGAGCATCTGGGTGGCCACCCGGCATCCTCTTCATCTCCATCTTCTGTGCTCCAATCCCATGGAGCTGCCCGTGGGATTTTTCCTTTACACGCAGAGAGCTGTGGAGTGGGTCCGTATGTGTTTGCTGGGCTTTGGTGCATCCTTCACTGAACAGGGGAGCACTCGAAGGACAGGATGTGGGCAGACATGAGGGTGTGGCTCGGTGACTCTGT